CTCTTTCAATGCTTTTGGAGAGTCATGCTTTATGCCTTAATCATGGCCTAACTTGTATGTATGCATGCCTAAGCTTTTGGGCTACCATCTCAGTGTATTTTTTGTCTTATTTTGCCATGATACAACTATGTTTTTGATTGGTTAGAGCATCCCTCATTTTCTTCTTAAACTTGTAGTGTAATCCCACTTATTGGCCTTGCATGCTTCTTGCTTTATGCCTTTCATTCTAGCATGTGTTGGCTACACTCCATCGTGTTTCTAGCATTGTTTTGACCTGCCTTGAGATTGTTTTGAGTCACCTTGGCCCTTTGGGGCTTTCTTGATATGGCTATGGTACAAGTGCCTTTGCTAGCCTTAAGCTTTGAGCCTCTTAGCATGCCTCATTTGTCATATGTGCGTGATTTGGGCATCATTTGGAATGTAATTTCAGAGCTTATGTCTTTGCTATACTCCCATGTTTTTCATCCTTTCATTGCCTTTGAGAGTTGGCCCTTCTGCCTAGTTGATGAGCCATTACATGAGCATCATTATCTTGCCTTTCATGCCATCATTTCAGAGCATTTTGGCCATTGTTTGGGCATGCATGAGGTCTGTCCATAGTTGGTTTAAGTCCATTGAGCATTGTATTGCATGCCTCTTGTATGATGCCCTTTACTTGCTTTGATGCTTTACCTTACCATACATGCATTGTTCACATGTTAGAACCTTGTGCATGCCACATTAACATTGTTAGATAGGCATGTTGTGTGTGTTGCATTGTGTTTGGATTGGACGTTAATCCAAACACGAGGAATGTCGCACATTTCATACTTGAAGTGATGAAATGTGCCTCATTTCTCGGTCGCCGGCCCTCTTGATCAAGCATGATAGAGGTGGAGGCCCTTATGTGTTATTTGTGTGCATTCATTGACATTGACTTGTGCAACTTGGCCTCTTTGGCCATCATGCATTGAGATGCATGATTGGTGACCTAAGAGTCGAGTACCGCACTCCCTTGAGCTTGAGAAATGATAGGGAGGGTGGTTGTGCACACATTCCTTACAAATACACTGCTATGCCTCTATTTGTGCTCTGTTGT